TCTTCCCCTCCCTCCTCTCCTTCCCCTCCCACTCTTCCCCTCCCTCCTCCTCCCCTTTCCCCTTCCCCCTCCTTTCCTCTCCTCTTCCCTCCCCTGGGGCAGGTGGCCTTCCTTCTCTTTGGGCCAAGCAGCTTCGGTACAAGCTGTGCACTTCCTCTCGATTTAGCCCCCCCACCCCTTTCCCAGTTGGCCTTCAGAGCAGGGCTGCCTGGCCAAGGAAACCCATTTGGATGACAGATCGCCTCCACCGCCATCTCCCTCGCTCCAATTCCAGGGCTTTGACAAAGGGCAGTGGTCCCCTCCTGTCGCTTTTGTCAAGGGGGGCTTTGAGTTACAGCTCTTCTTTAATGCAGGGGGGAGGGGGGAGGAAAACCAGAATAAAATCAACCCTGGTTGAAACTTCCAAGCAGGCTCTTTCTTCCCTGCATTTCTCTCTCTTCATCCAAGCATTAAGAGGAACTTACAGATTAAGAGTGGGAAGGGACCTCTCAGGTCATCTAGTCCAACCCCACCCCAGCAAAAGACCTCACAGCATTCCTAGCAGATAGCAGTCCAGCCTTTTCTTGAAAGTCTCAAATGATGAAGCTCCCACAACTTCTGAAGGCAACTTCTGTTCCACGGGTTGATTGTTCTCATTGTCAGAACATTCCTCCTTATTTCTAAGTTGAATCTCTCCTTGGTCAGTTTCCATCCATTATTCCTTGTCTGGACTTCGGATACTCTGGAAAGCAGGCTGATCCCCTCCTCTCTGTGGCAGCCCCTCAAATATTGGAACATTGCTCTCCTGTCTCCCCTGGTCCTTCTCTTCACTAGACTAGCCTTGCCCAGTTCCTGTTTTAGCCTCCAGGCCTTTGATCATCTTAGATAGATTCAGATTAACAGTGTTGAAAGGGAGCTTGTAGGTCAACTAGTCCAAGCAGGAGACCCTACCCCATTTCTAACAAATGGCAGTCCAGTCTCTTCTTGAATGCTTCCAGTGATGAAGCTCCCACAACTTCCGAAGGCAACTTCTGTTCCATTGGTTGATTATTTTCACTGTCAGGAAATTCCTCCTTATTTCTAGGTTGAATCTCTCCTTGTTCAGTTTCTATCCATTGTTCTTTGACTGACCTTCAGGTGCTTTGGAAAACAGCTTGACCCCCTCCTCTCTGTGGCAGCCCCTCAAATATTGGAAGTCTGCTATCCTGTCTACCCTGGCCCTTCTCTTCACTAGATTAGCCATGCCCAGTTTCTGCAATCGTTCATCGTGCTTTTTAGCTACCAGTCCCCTCATCATCCTTGTAAATGGATCTTCTCTGTTCAATGAAAGCTTGGAGGGCCACCTGTCTTGACTCCAGATCTCTCCAGTGGTGTAAGGCCCCCCATTTCCATAGACCCTACCTGGGCCTGGTCTTCATCTCTGCAGGAGATTACAATGGAGGCAACTCATTCTGCAGAGTGGCAGGGGAGGAATTTGAAAGAAAAACTGAGTCTCTGCTAGAGATTCTTTTCCTGCAGATGTCTTCCTCTTCAGTTTGCAGTTCCCCAACCTGCCTTCTCTCCTGCTGTCCTTGGGAAGCAGCATAAAACCCCCCAACTTCACGTGGTAAATCACCAAATAATTCAATTTAGAGTCTGCTCTCTGCAAAACTATGAGGCAGTTGCCTTCCCAAGAGCAGAAGCAGAGGTTCTGCCAGATGCAGCTGTCCGAGGCTTCTTCCTTCACCGTCCCTTTGTCCTGGGGGTTTCAGTCGGGATGTTTGCAGCTCCTCGTTGGTGTGGTGGTCAAAAGGGTAGGCTGGGAGCAAGGGGACAGGGAGGTCCAGGGCCTGGTCTTGGGCAGGGAGCCAGCTGGGTGGAAAGCCATTTCTGCTCTCAGCCCTCAGAAAGGAATCCTAGGAAGCAACGGTAGTTCTGGCAAAGTTGTCAAGAAGGCTGCGCTGGTGGTACCTCCATGGGGTCTCCAGGAGTCAAGACTCCCTCAAAGACAGATAGCTCTATCTGTCTTTTGACCGTCTGTCCGTCTGTCCGTCCTCTTGTCTCTGTCTCTCTCTGTCTCTCTCTGTCTCTCTCTCTCTCTCTCTCTCTCGTCCTGTCCTGTGCGGTCTGTTTATTTTGTCTTGCCTGCCTGCCTATCTATCTATCTTATCTAATCCATCCATCCATCCATCCATCCATCTAGCTATTATCTATCTATCTTCTTTCTATCGATCTATCATGTATCACACACACTCTCTCTCTCTACCTACCTACATCTATTTATCTATCTATCATTCATCCATCCTTCCATTCTTCTTCCATCCCACCCATCTTCTTCCCTCCCCCCTCCCTTCCCCCCTCCCCATCCATCAAAATGCACAAGCTTCCCAATATAGCCACTCTGACTTCCGCTTCTCTTGCTGTTTCTCTCTCCTGGTAGAAAAACTGGTGCTTTTCACCCCTCTTCCCGATGGACAGAAGCCAGCTGGAGAAGCCGCTGCCACAACCTGCTGGCCACCAGTCCTCCCCTACCAAGGGTCCTCCAGGGATGTCATCCGCACCTCCCCGCACACCGAGTCTCATGCATTTCAGTATAGCCCTTCGGGTGAGTCCAGCTCTTGGCTCTTAGGAGGGCAGTTTGACTATCCAGCCTTGGCAGTGCCCAGTGGCTTGTAATCTGGAGACTGGGTGGAAGGGTGGCCAAATTCCAGATCCAGGACAGAAGCGGAAAAACAGCAGAATTAGGGCCGTAAAAGCCAATCTCCTGGGAGGCTTCGGGTTTTTTGGCTCAGTGGGACACAGAAGGGCTGCAGACAGTCATGAGTTATTTGGGGTTGCGAACGTTCAAACTCCCAAGTTCCTCATAATCAAGTAGGCTGATCTTTCTTAGAAGAACCAAGTTCAAATACCTCTCGCATTGTCTTAAAACTCTCAATCTCTGCCTCTCTCTTTCTCTCCACAGCAGCTCATCCCATCTCCTTAAACGCTCACGAAAGTTCTCGGACTGGCCCGCCAAGGTTGCCCGCCATCTCCAATCCTCCTCCTCTGATCTCCAACAAGCACCCCTCGGTTCTTGAAAGAACGCCTGGCTGCATCTCCCAGGTAAAGGTGCACCCCAGCCTTCTGAGACCGTCCCACTAACCCAGGGGTGTCAAACTCAGTATCATTGAGGGCCGCATCAGGGTTGTGTTTGACCTTGTGGGACTGCAGGGGGCATGTTCAACTTGACGTCACTTGTGTTGGGGGCACCTGTGGTGGCTAAGTGCTAAGCAGGACTTCCCTCAGACCCTCCCTCCCTCTCATTATAATCTCCTTCCTTCCTTCCTTCCTTCCTTCCTTCCTTCCTTCCTTCCTTCCTTCCTTCCTTCCTTCCTTCCTTTCTTCATTCTCCTTTCTTCTTCCTATATTTCTTTCCTTATTTTTCCTTCTTCGCTCTCTTCCCATCTTCCCTTCTTTTTCTTTCTCTTTCCCCTTTCCTGTCCCTTCTTACATGCTCAAGTGCAAAAGGGGAAACATTTCTTTTTTTAGTTTGTTTTGTTAGCCTTCTGCTAGCTGTCAGAGGGCTACAGAAGGCTGTAGCGGCTGAAAATGGAGCCCAGGGGGGTGGGGGGAGGGCTGCGCAGAGGCACCGTAGGCTGGTCCTCTGCTGTTTCCATGGTGGCCATGTGGGCCAGATTTAATCACCTCTGGGCCGAATCCGGCCCGTAGGCCTGGAGTTTGATACCTGTGCACTAACCAGTAGATCAAGAGGAACAATGAAACCATGCTCAAGAGCGTGATTGCTACCATGTTTGGGTTGTTGCCGTCCCCCAATAACTAATGTTCTTTGGTGGATCTTTCAGGGGATCCCGCTACAGCTCCATGGTCCATTCAGTTTGGAGCACACCAAAGTCTCCATCGGTTCCATCACTGTGCCTTTGACGATGGACCCCAAGAAGTTGGGTAAGATCATCCGACAGAGTGGTGAAGATGTTCTTAGAGCCACAGCTGGCCAGAGAAGGGGAGGATCCAGTTGAGACACTAGCTGCGCTGAGACCCACTAGTCGTCCAAGCAATTTCTTTTGCTGCTCCTTTTACAGTAAAGTCAAGGTGGAAACATTCTTGTTTTCCAGTGCCGTTTCCTGGAGTGAAACAAGAGCAGCTTTCTCCTCGAAGTCAAGCGTGTCAGCCTGAAAGCTTGGTGGTGCAGCCCTCCCAGGAGAGCTCAGTTCTTCGCGGTAAGCCTTTTGCCCTGTGGAAGCCTGTAATAGTAGGGAGAGAAGAGAATGTAGAATAGAATAGAAGAACGGAACGGAACGGAACGGAATGGAATGGAATGGAATAGAATAGAATAGAATAGAACAGAACAGAAATATAGAATAGAATAAAACAGAAAAATAGAATAGAATGGAAGAAAGGATAGGATAGAATAGAATAGAAGAAAGGATAGGATGGGGTAGAATAGAAGAATACAATAGAATAGAAATATAGAATAGCATAGAAGAATAGAATAGGGAAGAATAGGATAGGATAGAATAGAATAGAAATATAGAATAGAATAGAAGAATAGAATAGAATAGAATAGGAAAGAATAATAAAGGATAGAATAGAATAGAAGAATAGAATAGAATA